CAAGATTACCTCTCTTTCCCACTTTGTACTAACAATAAGAAATGACATTCATGAAACAGATCAAATTTCTAGCAGTGTTCAGTGTATGACTCCCAGTATTTAAAGATAGCTGGGAAGCCAAGTTATAACAGAATTCTGTTCTACAATGTGTGTGTGTGTGTGTGTGTGTGTGTATGTATATATATAGGCTCTCAATAAACATTTGTGGGCACATGGGAGCTTGTAACTCTTTAATCACCTCTTTTTGAGCCTTCATGCTAAAAAATTAAGCTGCTTTTTAATAGGTCTTTCTTCAGAGTTTATAAAATATAAGTGATTAGCCCAGAATTTCCACAGTGTATTTAAAGGGGTGTTATTCCACCTACTCCAAAAGATGGGTGAGTGAGTGAAGGCTTGCAGACCTCTATATTAAATAAAGAAGTGTGTTTCTTTACTTCAACCTTCACAGAATGTTTAATATGCTAATGTGTATTATGAATCTCTGAGTGGGAATATATAATACACTGTTTTCCTAAATTTATTTTAAAAAGTAACTCTTTTTTCATTGGGTCTATTATAATTCTGGTGTTCCATTAAGCACAGTTAGGAAAAATAAGCATGCTAATAGTGAAGCTTCAGGCTTTATACCCTTGTTAAAAGATTAACATATGGAGGTTCCTCAGCCACCCACTTACAGATGACAATCTTTAGGGTACAGAACATTATTATTAAATCATAACTTATTATTTTCCTTAAGTCAAATGCCTGAGGCTTTTTGCATTGGTCTCCGTTTACCATCAAGAAATATGATTTGTTTCTAATAGCATCCTTGGTTTTTCTATAGCAAATCACATCCACTTATTTTATCCCCAGGTGTAACCTTAACTTTAAGTTAAGGTGGATACTGTTGCTTCCATGCACATTTAAGGTTGCATTATCTGGTTAATATTTGACTGAGCAACACCAGGATTACTTGCCTGATAGTGATTCACAGTGTCCTGTGGGAAAATATGTTTTTCTCAAGAATATTAAATACAAAATGTGTGTGTGTATTTCAAATGTTCCTACTGTATTAAATAGCTATGCTCTGGTCTCTGTTATCTTATGTGAACTTTATAAACACGCATACTTATGTATATTTTATATATATACACACATATATTTTGCTATATTGCCAACTAAATTTTATAATTTTGCCATTTATATGTCAAATTACAGGGTTCTTTGGGCTGGTTCCTTACTTGTAGTCTTGTTGGGTTTATTACTACGTCCATTTTTATTCCATATACTGAATGACTGTGATCTTATCTGCCTTATCAGATTAACAACTTTATTTTATTTTGATTGATCAAATTTTTATCCTTAATGATTTTTTATTAAGCAATTATAGATACTCTGTGAGGTTAGTGATATGTGGATAGTTAGAATAAGAAGAAAATATGTATAGGAAATATATATATATATATATATGTATATATATAGGAATTGTTTTGTCACTAGAGGAAGTTTTGGAAAACAAATTGAATTTTATATTATTATACTTTTTGAAAATCATACACGTAGCTGAAAGAGCACCAGTACAAGTAAGATAAACAAAGTATAATATTTGTTGTCATATTTAATAGACAAATATATTTAAGATTTTCTCTTATAACTCTGACAATTTAAGATACATGAATTGTGAAATTTGAACAACTATTGGCAAAGAGAAAAGTAATAAATCATATTTCAGATTATAGTTATATCATTAACTATGATCTCTAAAAATGTTTCCAAACAAGTTGAATCAGAGGTCAAATTCCTAGGTCTATCAGTTTGTTATCACTGTAGATAGAGTTTATTTCCTAATAATATCCAGGAATAAAAAAGGCCAGTTAAACTGAAAATAAAATATGGACTTATGGCAAACAGCATAGTAAAAACACATATATAAAGCAGGCTGTCAGCTTATGTTTTGTTTGTTTTTTCTCTTACGGTTGGAGAAAAACAGCTCATTAAAAAGTATAGATATAATCGGCATAAAACACGAGTAAAAGAAAATGCTTAGATATTTTAAAGAGAACTTCCTTTTTGTTTAGCAGTTGAAAATTAAATTAATTTTTGTATTCATTTAGAATACATTAAAGAATAAATAACCAGTCCTACATTTATACAAGAGAATTCTACTTTATATAATTAAAGGAAATGTAATTATTTATATATCTGAAATCATGTATTATGTAGATAAAATAAGAAGATAACACATTGAGCTTAAGATTGAAAACTTTCAAAAACTAAATATGCATATAGCATAAGCAATATCACACTTAATTTTGGGTGGCCAGTACTCTTATTTCTAATCATCCCATCAAAACATTTTTAAATTAATATTGAATTGGGGATTACATGGTGATAGAACTTGTTTCCATTGTTCTTAGATAGTCTAATAGTGATATTAGGTATTTCCATAGCTACTCCATGGGGAATATTTCAGAACACTTCCTTCTGGGAGACATTTGAGAGTATATATGCCCAATCACTGTGTGAGATTTAGTCAACAAAATCCTCCTGAGACAAAATAATTTTTTAAAGTGCCATGTCACATTATATGTTCTAATTAATATTCTTGGCTTTCTGAATTCTAAGAATTTTGTCTCTACCTCTGCCACCACTGCTTGGGGTATTCTTTAAATCTCATCATGTCTGAAAATTCTCTCACCTTCAAGATCTCAAAATCCACAATTTCATTTTCTGATGTCTTATCATTTGTCATATTTCTTATCTTCTACTGAACTTAATCATTAATTTAACCATTTACCATTCTTTATGTTTGTTTTATTTTGGTAGCCCAACACTGCTTCTGGCTTAACTCGTCACTACTCAATAAGAAAAATAATGGTCAACTATTTTAGGACATTATATTTTGATAGCTTAGAATGCTGCATTCCCATGATTTTTCCACCATTCCTTTCTAGCAAATCCTCAGTTTTTAATATCTCTGTTAATTCTGTCTGTTTTTGTTCTCAGATAGGTATAAGGTTGCCAAACCACACTGATTAGAGCCAGTAAATGGGTGACCATGTAATTTAATGTCTAAAACAGAGAATAGACACTTTTTATTTTTGAAAATGAAGAAGGATACTGAAAAAACAGTATAAATGAGCCCTGTCTCAGAGAACCCAGAGTGTGTCTTTACCCTACCAAAAATATATGTGTTTTATCCTTAGAATAAGTCTTCAACTCTGCTTGAAATTAATTAATTAATTCATTTTTGATTGGTTTCCTATAAGGCATTTCCAGTGTCAGCTTTGAGCTTCTTCACTTGCCTCCAAAAGCTAATTCCTTTACTCTTATCTCAAGTTTAATTCAGTTAAGATACATTACTTTTTCTGTGGAACAGTTGAGACCTCACCACCTAAAAATGTCTCTCTTTCTTAGTAGTCAGTTTCCTTTAGTTTAGCTTAAAATATTTTAAAAGTCCTTCAATTCTTAATTAAAATCATTTTCATTCTTTCTTTCTCCAAAATTTTTCTACATTGGTTATCGCCTATTACTAATACTTTCAAGTTATACTTCCTCATTGGCTTTCTTTTGTGGTAGATAGTACAAGGTAGAGGGTGAGACCATCATAGTGTCTGTTTTCCTCATATACTGATCATAACTTCCTTGACTATATAAAATACCTTTTCCCAACCCACAGAACTAGTCATCATTCAATAATTCTCCTTTGTTTTATATATATTTTTCCACACTGGGCTTGATTATCCACAATGATAGATTCAAGTACTCCTTGAGCAGTTGTTGCTCCACTACCCTTTCTACAGATGTGCTGGTTGATAGAATATGTATCTGAATTTTGCAGTGATACCTCAATGTTAGAAAGTGAAAAGCTAAATATAGTTTTGGCACTGGCCTACAAATTTTACTATTCCAATTTTTAAAAATCGCTATATTTCCATATTTATTCATGGTTATAGAACCTTAGATTAATCTTAAATTACCTTTTTTTCAGGATCTCCAGATAAATTAGTCAGGGAATTTATAGGTTGTTCTTTCACCACACTCCTCACACTTACTATTAAGTTGTGCCTTATTGCTAACACTTTATCAGTTAGCCCTACACAATCCTTTTGCCAGATTAATTGTGAAGATTAACTCCAACATTTCAAGCCATTGAGCTATTTGATAACATTTTTAGGTTTCTTCTCTTGGAAGAAAGAAGGATAAAATCCCCTTATCTCTAGCGAAGTACATACTCTTAACTTTGCATTCATGGTTCTCCTTTCTCTGGCCCCTAAACATATTCTCAGTTGTTTTGTCTCCCAATATTTCAGCCTCTCCTGTTGAAATGCCACGTTGTCAAGGCCTTTATCACAGTCACTGTTGTTCATAAGCAATGATTTATTCTCTTACCAAATATTAATCTCCTGGTTTTTTTTTTTAACTCCCAACAGCATTCTGTTTTTACTTGTTTTATTCTGTCTCATAAGATACTATTTAGATGCTTATTTTACCCTGCTCATAGACTGTTGTTTTATAAAGGATAGGACATATGTTTACTCATGGCTTGAATACTGGCACACCATGCTAATATTAATCATTAATTACTTGTTAAAATTGTTTTACAAATGAAACTATTTGAATACTATAGAATTATTTGTATAATTTTAATGTAAAATATTACTAGATCTCTTGGCAAACAAAGTTGTTTCCAATAGTCAAGTAGTAAGTATCATTATATCTAATAAATAGTTGAACTGACTGATGCATGCAGAAAGTAAAGGATTCATTCACAGATCAATCCTAGTCTCTTATAGAGCTGGGAGAAGATACCAGTCTTTTATAATCCTCTTTTCATTTTAAATAAAGCTCTCTATATGCATGTAAAGTGCTACAACCATTCATGAAGTAGATTCAATCTCTCATTTTCCTTACATCATCACTGATTTAAGCTCATTTTCTAAATTGAGGCCTAAGAAAATTATGGCCAGATATTCATTCTCTCATTAACCTGAAAGTGAACTATATTTCATTGCTTGTAGGATGGTATGGGAAATCTGAGAGTCACCAAGAAGGGAATCCGACTTGAAGGTATATCTGAGTTTCTACTTCCATTGTATGTGAAAGAAATTCATTCCCGAAAGGTATGTGATACTGGCTTTGGCTTACTGTAAAACATAATTTAGAAGTTATGTTTTAGATTGAAAAGGAGAATGGAATCCCTTTATCTCTTCAGCATGTATTTAGTTTCCTTAAGCTAAAGACCTATGCATAGAAATGACAATAATAAAATAATTGGAAAACAGTGGAGAAGGTTAGTTTCAAACTGAAAAATAAAAGAACCATTTTGAATTAAACTGCAGTGTTGCTTTTGTTAGTCTAGAAAATCTGCCCCTCTATATTTGCTGGAAGTTTAAAATACACAGTTATAGTCATTTAATGGGGGCATTTGATATATTTTGAGTAAATTTTGCAAAAGGCACTGACTTGAATTAATGATTTTAATTCAACATATTATACATCTATTCATCTTTAATGAACATGCATTTTCTAACAGAGATGACAAATTGTTTTAATTTAGAAATTAAATTTATTTCTGGATGTACATTATTTAAACAAGCCAGAATATTTATCCTTCAAATGTGTATGTGCGTGTGTTATATGAGTTTAATCTCTTAGCCACATGCTAGAAATCAAAAAGATTATAGCTGAGTCATGTTCATTTTGACTTAAGTGTGTTACTTCTCAAAAAGTAATAACTATTCTTGGGTATATCAAAATCTTACTAGAATCTTTCAAATCTATTAGACATTCTCCTGAGATATATGTATATTTGTGGAAATAAATTTATTAAGGCAGAAATAATGGAAAGCTTGTTATATAAAAGTTGGAAAAATATTATACTTATTTCATACATATGAAAATCTACTTTAGACCACAACAATGTTTTAATATTACCAATATAATATGTTAGCAAATGGATTGTATAGTAAGCCATAATTTGAATAATTTGCTTGAAAGTTATTTTTATTTAATATCAAAATGAAAACATAACAAAAGATTGTTTTTCATAAAACTTTTAATTAGTATAGTTATATTAATGTCAAATTTATTTTATTTTCTAACATGAGAACTGACAAAGCTTCACTATATAGTATAGTGACTGCACTCTGGTACTGAAAATTTTATTTTGACACTACTTTACTTTCTGGAGTTTGGTCAGACAAGTAACATTATAGACAGATGTATGAACACCTGACCTTACATTAGTAAACTTTAAAAAACGATTAAACTTAAAATAAATGTTTGGTGCTTTTGCTTCCTTTTGTTTTTATGAAAACTAAAAAAAAATAGCATGCTTAGACATATTAGTTTCTTTGCTTGATTGGAAGTCATTATCTTTCACAGTTATTTACTGAGATCCTCCTGTGTTTGGCACTATTAAACAGTTTAATATATGAAGGAATGAAAATTTATATAGGAAAATCATGAAATTTCTTAACATAGGAAGAAGGTAAGAGTAATATAGCCCAAAATTTCTTTGAAAATGCATCTTATTGGTAAGTCCAGGGACAGCAAAGGTGATATATTTCTAAAGCCACTTAGACCAATTTGTAGTGGCTGCCTGGAAACATAACTTAAAGGACTGTGAAAGCCTTCTCCCAGCAGGCAGATCACAGAATTTATCTTTCCATCTGGGATATATTTGGAAGTATAAAAACAGGTGTAAGCTGTATTTTCCTGAGAAATAGGGATATGTCTAGATTCTGTCCATGGACCACATACAGCAGAGTCCACTAACTTTATAGCATTAAAGACATTGGGCTTCAAAATCTTCATCCCTGGGAGAGATTACCCTAAGTTCATGAGCATTTCCAAAATCTATCATACTGATTGATGACTATATGCTCCCTTTCACACCCCAACTCTCCTAGTCTTCTCTCATTGTTGTTTGCCTCCAGTAACTAGGAAGCATGGCAACGTGTAGGCAGATGGGCACATCAGTAGTCAGACAGGAAATCTGGTTTGAGAACAGAAATAGAACGAGACTCATTTACTCCTTGGGAAATTTCTCCTCAGATACACTAAAAAATAAATATTTAAAATTAAGAGAAAATATATATGTATATATTTTATTACACAAGCAGATCCCACATTACAATTGGCTTGTTCCTGAATACATGCAAGGTGTTTTTTCTCTGCCGTAAAGTCTATTCACTTCTAAGAGGCCAGCCACAATTTCTTTGAACTTTAGTTTTTTCATTAATAAAGTGAGTTTGGTAGAAACTTAACAGGAATATTTTAGTAATAAAATAGAAATGAGATTTTTAACTTTAAAAAATGAGTTATACATTTTAATCTTTCCACTCATTTTCATGTGTTCAAATTTTTGGTGATAAAATTCCAAAGTTGCTATAGTTCTCAGGTAAGGACATCTATTGAATTCAAAGGACACTTTCAGAGTCAATTAAGGTAGAGTCAATTAAGGTATTACCATGTATGACAATTTTGATTTATGTGTATGTGTGTGTTTCTCCCCCATATTATAACATATTTCTAATTATATGGGTGGAATGCTGGTATACACCCTTAGAAGAAAGTCTAAGGATAGTTTGAGCACATTGGAACTTGTTGGGGAGTGGGAGAAAAAACAGTAATAGCATGGTAGGAGGCCCTCATTAATCTGGGAGACAATTAGATGTTACTAAATAATAAGTGTAAGTGAACTTGGTTGTAGAGGTGCAATATTCTTTTGGCTTAAAAAAACTAAGGGAGCTCTGAAAGAAGTTCTACTTAGGATGCATTTCTTCTAGAGATTAAGCTATTGTCTCTCACTGGTCATGTCTCTTAGCAGACAACACTGAAGTCTTACAAAAAAGGGAAGCTTCCCTAATCATCTTCAATTTAGTTGCCTTTATAAACTACTTTAAAATTTTTATGTAGTTTTTCATCTTTTTCTCCACCAAAACACACATTTATACACAAACACATAGTTATGATATACCCCTATGCTTACACCTTTCCCCAAGAATGATGAGAGAGAGTGATATAGCAGACCTAGAACAACAGAAGGAAAGCACATATCAGCTCAAGTTTCGCTTTGTACAGTATCAGATTTTCTGTGTGTGTAACAGCCTATTGCAGAGATTCTGGAATACAGATGTATTAAGAAAAGAATGAAATTGTGATACTAGTCAATATTACACATCTTTAAATGCCCTAAAATAATCTGATATGACGATGTAATTTAGTGTTAGTAGTCATCTGCCCTAGAGTGGCACACATAATTAAGTTCTGGATACCTGTTAATTCATCTTGAATAGTTCCAGCTACCAATTATTAAATACTTTTCACATATTAACTGCTATGTGAAGGGCCTGGCACATATTCTCAGCTAATTCTCACAGCACCCCATAAGAAGTAGACATTAGCATACTCATTTTACAGATGAGAAAAAGAATGTGGCTCAGAAGAGTTCTATAACTTACCTGAGTATCACTGGAAAAAAAGTCATCAGTCAAGCATGCAAATTCAGGTCTGTCGGCTTTGATCCTCATGTCCTTAACACCGTGAAATCCCTGTAGCAGTGAATGGAATCAGCAAAGGCTTATCAGGAAGAAGGAGAAGGGGATTTCTTTAGAATTTATTACTATTCATGTTCTGGGAAACACTCTGGACTTTTCTCTAAAATACATTTCTTGAAATCCGTGCTATGGAGTGTGTTTTTAAACTTAGGCTCCTTAAAAATTTTTTTGTTACTTAGGAAAAAAAGTCTATTTGGTGAATAGGATTTTAAAGAGACATTAGTGTTGTTTTTTGTTTTTTGGTTTTTTTAAGAGATGGGGTTTCACTGTGTTGCCCAGGCTGGAGTGCAGTGGCTATTCACAAGTGTGATCATAGCTCACTGCAAACCTTGAACTCCTGGCCTGAGGCAATCTTCTTGCCTCAGCCTGCCAAGTATCTGGTATTACAGGCACCATCAGTGTTAATTCTCATAACAGAGCTGAAATAAATTATTCTCCAAATAGTAGATTTCTTCATTACCCCAAATTCAACATGTCTTTGTGGATGTGGGATGACTGTTGTTATATAGAACCTCTAAGTCATGATGAAGACAGGGATTTACTAAAAAATTCCAAAGCTGTAGAAGCAGATTACCAAAAACAAACAAACAAAACACAGCAACACATACATACATTAGCTCAATGTTTCCACTCTTTTTTGAATATAAACCACAATAGAAGAAACACATTTTATACACTCTGAAAATGTCTAATTTAATGTAGTCTAGCCATGTCTTTTATATTCTAATTCAATATGTGTGTGTATTATATGTGTAAATTATTGTTGCAACCCACTAAATTGATTTCATGACCCTGCAATGTGCTTGATCAACAGTATGAAAAAAACATTGTCCTGGCTAATAGCTACTAAAATAACACATTCAGTAAGCTTGTGGCAAGATATTTTGTCTCAGATGTCACAAACATAATGGATTCTGCAGTGGAAAATATGAAACACTTTATTTGAATTCCAAAGGACAAAGTGCAAAAGGTGTAAATTCTATAAAGCAACCAACTTATGTGTTTTGATCACTGCATATAGCTGTGCCTTATAGATATTAAGGGCCTAGTGAAAATTTTTATACTTTGTATTATTGACTATGTACATACAGACAGATACACAGATCTCAGTGAATATTTCCTTTATTGACTGAATGATTAGTGTATTCGAAGGATATAAATTAAATCTCTAAAAAATTACTTTCCTCTTATATTATAGAAGTGGAATATTTTGCATGTATATGAGACCTCATTACTCCAGATCTTTTGTTTTTGTCTCACATTTTTAACCAATGTAAACACTTGGTGAATTAGATCCTAGAATGAACTTACATTGTCTAAAAATAGTAGTCATCTTCTTTCACAATATTAAAGGGGCAAACTACATGCTACCAAAAAATTTGAGGAGAATAGAAGATCTAACTTTGAATTTTCAGAGTCTTATGGCTTTAATGTGGCTCTATTAGTATAAAACATACTGACTCATCACTTATATCTCTGTGACATTAGCATGCACCCAAAATAACCCAAAATGGTAATTGAACAGCGGTACTTGAGCTACAAAATGATATTGTACTTTGCTTCTTGTTTCTGGCCTCCAAGGGGAGGTTTTTCCAATTTGTTGGTGTTCTTTGAGAAAAGAATTTTATGACACACCATGCAAGCCAAGCAAGTGAAAGCTTTTATTGAAAGCAAAAATACACTTTTAGGGCAGGCTGGAAAAGAGCAGCTGCACTGAGAGGAAGTGGTTTCAGATCTATTACAGTCTTACTGATTGAAGAGAGGAATGTTCAAGGAGGAGTTGGCTTTTACTAAGAATTTTGGTATTAATTCCTAGAATTGGGTTCCCTCCCATTTTCATATTTTATGTGGTTGTTTCCGAAGTGACATGGTGATTTCAAGGACAGAGAAATTTTAAAACTGCAATGTAAATGATATTGTAATTAGCCAAAGTCCATGTAAGGTGGCAGAGATAGCTGACTAGCCAGTGGAAGCACATTCTTTCTTGTGATTATCAGGTTCTCTAGATAGCTTCTGCTTCTGAGCTGTTTATTGTAACACTCGCACCAGATCTTCAAAGCCCTGCATCTGGTCTCAGTCCTGTCTCTTAGTCTCCTACTCTAACATTATGACTATGAGACTATGATGATGCTTGATGAAATTGCTTTATTAGTTTATACATCAATATTTTTTTCTTCTCCTTCTCAGGCCTGAGACCTGAGTATGGGAACAATATTAACAACAATATATTTTTTTAAAAAGGTGAAAGATTTATACTATCTGAAGATAAATAAGAGTAAATGACAATATTTTGACTTGAAATCAGGCACTCCACACTAACTTACTTTCCATGGATAATCTTATAGGCCTCTATCTGAAGAATTTGAACTGGGCTTTGAAGAATGATGAGAATTTGAATTAAAGATCAGTTGATTTTTAAAAGCAAAATAAGTAGTTTTTAAAAGACATGGTCTGTTCAGAAAGCAGTGAGTAGACCAATTTGGTTTGAGTTGAGGAATGCTATCAGCCAACATTCTCAAATCCAAGCAAACACACCCCTAATTGTATTCCAAGATTTTCCAGGGAGTACACGGGTATGGATGTCCTTTTCCAAATTTTCAAGTTTCAAATGCACTCTTTCCTAATTTTGATCTGTGTGAGAATGACTCTGTAGTTTGTTACTTCTCTTTTCCAACTTCTCTATCTCTACCACTTTTTTGTTTTAAAAATAAAATAAGGAATAATTTTTATCACTCGTACTATGACACATTTCTCAGGATATAAAAGGTTGAGAGTAGAGGAGATGTTAGATAAACTAAAGGACAAACTGAGAATATATTGCACCTGAAATAAAAAGTTAAATAAGTAAATGTAAAAATAATACCAGCAGCAGGGTAAGAAGTGTTGAACAGGCAACATACATATTTATCCATGCCACCCATTCATGGCAAAAATCTCTCTCTTTTGCAGAATTATAAATAAAAATTCAGTGATAGTGGGATAATATTAATACATTTATTTGAATTGCGAAATTCAACCATTTTTCTGATAAACATAAGGCTGGTTTTACTGATGTAATTTAAATGACAGACGTGCTTCATCATTGGGATAAGCTCCGTCTAGAGCCTCATCACATTGGAATGTTACACAAAATACATTTAAAACATACCTACAGTATTGTTGTATCAGTGCCAGGCATTTTATCCTTCTGAAATGTTAAACTTTTAGTATTAATATTTCAAATATCACCTTTAAATTATTCAAGGTGACATAGGTTTAAAAGTATTTTAGGAGATGTGTGAGCAAAAACTATTTAAAGAAGAGGAATATAAAAAATCAGAAAAACATCAATTTGGAAAGCAGCTTGGGGCTCAGGTAAGCAGGCTTTGAATCTTAAGGAATTTGGAATCCATCCTTAAGGCACTAAAACTTTAAAGTGCCTATATCAACTTATCCTTTTTTAGGCTATTACATTTCAAATTAATAAAATATATTTCTTTAAATATATCAAACAAAAATTTCATTAACTTTTGAAAAAGCTTTTCATTTTTAACATTAGTTTGGGTTATTGAGGCTTAATCTGTTACACAATCATTCTAATTAATATTTATGAGATATAGAATTTTAAAAATTTTATTAAGTGGCATGTTAGTGAAGTACAAAGACCTCACTAACTTAAAGATAAAGACAATTAGTACCTTAATGCTAAAATCAATTCCTCTTCATTATTACATATTAAAATGTTGTTATTGGCTAGATGGATGCTTTATAAATAAGTTTTAGATATGGGACTACTTTTTTCAATAAAATCTTAGGAAAAACAAAAGCAATATAAGGCACAGGGACAGAGAGATCATCCCTCTCTAATGGCAGGTATCTGCAACACCCTTCGTACTCTTAAATTATAGCTGTAAATCACTGGCTTCAACCATTTTCTCTAGGGTCATTGTATGCTTTTCTCATCTATATTCAGTGAATCTATAAAAAATAGAACCTGATCACAAATTATGTAAATACTTTTGTATCCACATTTTATCACAATAATTTCCTCCTCAGTGTAAATGTTTATCATTTATTGTCATCATGACAATCAGGATCATCATTTATTGTCATTATGCCTTTCGATGCGCTTCCATCATACTTGCCCTCTGACTTTCCTTTGGTTTGCATTAATAATATAATTGAAAGATTTAAGGTAGAATTTCCTCTTGTTAATTTTCTATGTAGCAATTGAAATGTCCTTTGAAGTAACAAGGGGTCTCCTATAAACCAGAACTTGCTCTGAAACAGCACATTCGTGGCAAAACAAGTAACCTTTATCCCAAATTTATAATATATATCAAGATCCTGAAAATGCCAGGGATTAAGAATAGAAAAAAAATTATATTTGATATAGTTTTGATTTTATTAATTTTATTAAGATGCTAAATGCAAAATTTTTGTTACAAGTGAATCCAGAATGTTGCCTTTGATCATTTTGCTTTTTAGAAACTTAAAAAATTTAGCTTCAATTCTTGTTCTATATTCAATGATGATCCAATTATGCTCATAAGATTTCTGTGGATTTCCAGGGGACTTTCTCTAGCTTCAATTTCCTATCACACCTTCTTTCCTTTCCCCTAAATATATCACATGAAAGTTCTTTCCTTGGTCATGGCATCATCCCAAATATGTATCCCTGTCATTTTCTGGATTTCTTCATTTTCTTAAGCTCTTAAAAGGCACACACTTATTCATGCATGGTTTTTGATTTTGCAAACAACTAAGGTTTTAAGGAATGCAGTGTTTACATTGTGGTATGTAAACAATTTAAATGCAACATTAGACATCTTATTATTTAAAATTATTTTACCATATTGCTGAGTCATTCTTGCTATCTTGCTATCTTCTTTTCCTCTTTCCTTCCCTTTCATGGACAACAATGAAAAAATTCTTCCATCTATGTAAATATGCATTTGTATATTTTTCTATGAAAAAAAGATGGGAAAATATCACCAATTTGTTAATAGAATTTATATCAGATAATGAAATTAAACATGAGAACAGAACTCAGTTTTTATTCAGACATTTCTGTTTTTAAAACTGTTACAATAATCATGTTTCATGGGGCAAAATTATAACTCAGTTCAAGGCTCCAGTGTTAGTGTTCTGTCCCTCAGGGACAAAGAGAATGTTGTGATTTGTTCTCTTGTTAGTTGCAGGCCCTTTCTTTCTTACTAAAGAAGAATTAGATCAACCTGCATAATTCATAAAAAGAAGAAGAATAGGGAGAGAAAGAGAAAAGGTGGAAAGTACTGAAGGTATTTGTCATATACTAGAAAAGCGAATGAGGTAGAAAAGGTAGTATGAATTTAGATTATTTTCATGGATTTCTAGATATGCAAATAAAGGTTTTGAACTATTAAAATTTACTTTGTGCTGCTTAACTGTTTCTTTGACCCTGACACCACTTTGAAATTGAATTACATGCTTCTTGTCTTTAACTAGGTTACAAAAGTATTAATTTTGAAATTTGAATGACTAGAAAATAAGGAAAGAGACAATAAGAGGAAAAGTTAATTAAATGCCATATTTTTAAATGTGTCTGCTAGTCATTGCTTTATTCCTACAGATGCTCTAGTAATAATCAGTTAAGTAAAAGTTATTATAGACATATTTACCCTTTGTTCATGATAAAATATTTGCTCAATTCATTTCCTCTCTTTATGTTTTTCTTATTTCTTGAATTACAAATTAGTGCAAATATTACCCTCTAATATATTTTAGGTATAATTAATGATTGTCTACTATTTCACTTCTTGCTGGGGACTACTTGTGAATTTTTAAAACAAGTTACTATAAATTAGCATTTTGTCATTCTGCCTTTTGTCTTTTAGTACTTGTGGAGGACAAAAAAGCAATTCATTAATACATGTTTGTTTTCATATTTTTCTTTTTCCTCCATTATTCTCCTAAGTTTCATTGGATCTCATATGGCAATTTACCAATTTTTTTATTTTATCAGGAAGCAAGCAAGAGAAAATTACCATATGTAATGTAAATATCTGCAAATTGGCAGTGGCACTTATTTTTTTCTTTTTAAATCAGTGTCTATGTAACAGCATATCATAGATACATCTTTTCAGTGATTTGCCATCAGCATGTCATTTTATTTTACTTAAATTACTACACTTCCACCTTCCACCAAGTTCCAAGTTGGTTTCTTTTTTTTTTTTTTTAAGGCAGTAAAAAAAAAAAAAAAGACTCTGTCACCCTGGGTAGAATGCAGTAGTGTCATCTTAGCTCATTGATTGCAACCTCAAACTTCCTCCTGGGCTCAAGCAATGTTCCTGCGTCAGCCTCCCAAATAGGTGGGACTACAGACATGCCTCTGTGCCACGATAATTTTCTATTGTTAGTAGAGATGCTGGGGGAGTCTTACTCTTGCTCAGGTTGGTCTCAAACTCCTGAGCTCAAGCCACCCTCCAGCCTTGGCCTCCCACAGTGCTAGGATTACAGTCATGAATCACTGTGCCCCCGCCTTTGGTTTCCTCTTTTGATCATCAAAATCTAAACCAAGAAGGTAGAAACAAAATACTTCTGAACATGCCAGAGTTTATCAAAGAGGGATCATGGGAAATCATCCAATCTAGTCAAAGACTTTTGCAGAGAAGTTGGTTCTAATATTTCCTAGTGGTTTACATTTTATTTGGAATAATGTATTATAATTGGCTAGTCAATCAAACATCTAACCCTGTATGTTATTTCAAAATTTGTGAAATTAATGGATGGCTACATAGTTTCCAAATGTAAGTATATAAAATGTGTTTTTTGAATATTGAATAACTTCATATCATACTATGTTATCACATTGTCTCATTTAACCTAATGTTTTGCTTTAATCATGTTGAGTGCTTTGTAGACAATTTTTGTTGTTATGACACTTATAAAAATAGTTTAATTTTCTAAAAGCAATATGTAATTCAGCTAGACTAATTCAGCTAGATTTTGCTGCAAAAATTAATTAATTAATTAAAACACTAGCTTTTGCCTAAAACGCAGTAACATAAAACCTTATACATTCATTATTTCTCTCAACTTTGTTCACCGACCGGGCAGTTTTTCTTGTTTATACAAACTTATCTGGGGCTTAATAATCTAGAATGTCTTCTCATAAGTGTCTAGATTGGTTATGGTGGTTGAGATGGCACTCCGTGTGGTCTCTCACCCAGTAGGAGAGTCCAAGCTTGATCATATGATGACAAAATAGTTCCCAGCAGCTAGAGAGAGCAAGCCCCATTGTATAAAGTCCTTCCTAACCCTCTGTTTGTGGCAAGTCTACTTATGTCCCATTAGCCAATACAAGTCACAAGGTTGAACCCAACTTGAAGGGATGAAGAAACTGACCCCACCTCCTGATAGGGAATGGTAGTGACTAAAGGGGCATACTGTAATGGGAGGAATTTGTGGCCCCTTTACAAGCTACCACAAAAGCTATCATTATTTCTTGTCTGAATACTTTTATAGTACTTCTTTATTTTGTAGTTTATGAATGACAAGTTTTCTGAAAAGATTGAATTGTGTATGTATGTGTTTGTTTTTAAAAAAGTAAACATTTATTAGTTAAATTTAATGAGATAGATTTTATTTTTTAATTAAAATCAGATAAAATTCCTGGATTTTTATTATTCTATATTTACAGCAGAATTTTTTAGGCCACTTAAATAACTTTATAGAAGAATTTTTAATGATTTTTGAAGATAGGGAAAACCTACTTATTGAGATATTTTTTTTAATGCCTTGATTTGGGGAAATTTAATCTTTTCTGCAATTTTAAAATTAGCAATATGAATATTAGAAATATTGGATGCTGTGATTATATATATACACAGATGTAATTTATATGGCATTTCTATGAATTATAAGTCATCTATCCTGCTAATAATTGTTCATCTCTTTGAATTCATGTGATTATGTTGTTCTTATGATAGTAATATTGGTAGATTAGTTTTTAACATTAATTGCCCTAAGAAGATTTACTCCTTGGCTTTATATTATATTAAAATGAATACCAGTCAAAATAAGGTATGTGTTCAATATATTTTATATAGAATCTTTACACTATAAATCACCCCAAGTTAGTATATTTTTATAATGAATTATTATATGCTGCTTGCCTCAATACTTGATTTAATAAATATTATATAGATTTTTACATATTCACCATAGTCTTATCTTCTCTAAATTATCACTTATTGATAGTTTCAGTAAGTATACAAATCTCTGAAACTTGATTCTTTTTTATTTTCTATTTTAGTCAATGTCTTACTGCTATAATATAACCAAATTATATCCACAATTAATGTAAAAATATGTATGCTATTTCTGGACTTATCATTGAATAATTTATTTTTAATTTTACACAGTTAAAATAACCTTAAAGTTTAAAATTATAGCCATGGAGAATATTTATTAACTACTTTGGCCACTTTTGGAGGAAGTGAAATAAATTATAAAAAGAATGATAAATTACCATAGTTATGAGATGTAAAGCTATATAACTATGATATATATGTGTGTATATATATTTAGGTTTTTTCTGGAATAGAAATACCTTCATTATTTTCATTTGAAAATAATATTGCCACATCATTTATAAATGACCTGGTGATTTTGTTATGCCGATTTTCACAAATGTTAAAACCATTATTAAAAAATATAGCAAATTAATAATATATAAATCATCATTTTCACTGTGTGTTTCATAAAAATACTAATAAAAAATTGAGAAGATGATAAATGAGAACTGGAGTACTAATGGTTTATGCTGTCTTAGAAATATATTTATTTATTTTAGATAAAAATTATAACTGGCCAAAAGGGAATAATTTCTATCTAACCTATGTACATATAACACAACTCCATTTGTTATTTAAGTGATTAAGATAAAATTTACAGTCTGTAACATTGTAGAAGTTACTAAAAAAATATAGAATCAATAATGAAATTAACATGAAGACATACTCCTTTATTTTACAATAAAAAATAACATATTGTTTAATGTTTTGTCCCTTAATGGATTTGGCTATTGATTCTTTATTTACACTGGCAACCAGGAAGACACCAGTGTTTCAGAATGTCACCATTGATGTGTTACGCTTCACTGGAAGGTTTTTAGAGTGATTCAACTGTAACAAAAATATATATATATGGAGCAAATAATTTCAGTTTGACACTTCTGTGAATCAGCTGACACATTGTTTATTGAAGCAATGTTTGATTTTGTATACAAGTAGTTAAGAGTTCATCACAAAATTTCTAGCCTATGAACAACCAGCTCCTGTGTGTTTCTATGTTTGTATAACAGTGATTTCTAAATAAATGCACATCCTGTGTAATATAAGTAGAGTTTTTAATTGAAATAATAATTTAATCTATTTCAGAGAAATTATTCATAGTCCAAAATTATTTGTAATGTCAAGTGGTTATAATAACTAGTAAATATTATAACTGGCTATAGAAAAATGTCAAGGTGCTTTGACATATGCCTATTACCATCTAGAAAACATAGTTTTTTAAATATAGACTGTTGATCCACTTTTAGGTACATTATATCTAGATTTGATGCTACTAAAATTTATGAACATATGCATTACAATAACTATATTGAGGTTTTTCTTTAGAATGTGGCTGAGTTGAGCTATTTCTACTCCTTGCATCTTCTAAAAACAACTGAAAACAATGAGGATTAAACATATCAATTGTGGTAAATCCTTCATCTTTTCCAAAAAGGGATAGGATTATATAGAAAGTTGGTAAATGCTTAATTACAGTTCTCTTAGAAAAGTTTTTCTATGTCTCAGATCAATAAATTCCTGATAATTCCAACCTACTGTAATAGGTCCATGAACATCAGTAGTTAATAGACCTTATTCACCTTTCATTAACTAGTTTGAAGATTTTGTATAGATTGGGGACTTACTGAGAT